GGTGCCCAGGCTGAGCCAGGGCATTTTCTTCCTGGAAGGTCCTCAATAGGTGTGGACAGGTTCAGAGGAGCAAAGCCCAGGAGGTGGGAGAAAGGAGGTGGAGCCATGCCTTCCAGGCTTCTCAGAACTTGGGTTAACCTGACAGAGCCGGGGCCCTGAGCTCCCCCTGCCTCTGGCAAGCCTGAACTCCCGGAATAATGAGCCACTCACCGCGGAGGCCCGGCCTCGCGTTCACCCAGTGCACCGCAGGCAGGAACTTGCAACACCAGATAACAGCGATGATGAAATTTTTGTCCACTGGGCAAATATTTGCTGAGCACCCGCTCTGTGTCGGACCGTTGGAAGTTTCCCAACCTTGTCTAACCAGGTGTGCTGGAATACGGCCATTCCCTGGAGCGTTCCCTTGAGGGGTCATGGCCTGAGGAAGCCCCCGCCCCACACTGGCGTCCACTCTGCACAAGGCCCCAGGTCTGCCTCCTAGACCCTTCCGGTGGGGGCCTCGGTCGTCTCCTCTGAAGAATGGCAGCACACTCAGCCCGGACGGGCACAGGGTGGGTGTGATGTCACAGAGGGTCAAGCTGAAAACAATGTAAGGTGCCACTCCTACTGGACTCACCCAGCTATGGAAGCAGAGCGAGCCTCATCCTTACCTCCTGGCGAAGGGGTCCTCTGCAGGAGAGGAAGTTTTCAGGTTAACTGACACTTTATCATTTTAAGCACCGAAATCTGTAACATATTAATGAAGCTGTGAGGGCGTGGAATACAGTATCCAGAGGCCGCCGGAAGTCCAGGGCTTTGTCTCACCACTTTATGCACAGTGATGCCTTCGGGGACTGTTCGCCCTGAACCAAATGGCTCCGACTCGTGCCTTCCCAGGGCTCGCGTCCTTGCAACCGTCTCAGCTCAGCCCTGCTGACGCCCCCGGAGTCTCCACCTGCTCCTAGGTGGGCCCACCCTCTCTGGACGATGCCACCCCTCCCAGTGGCTTAACCACTGTCTTGAGCTGGGGACTGGAGTCTGGGCCTGCAGCCTCTGGCTGGACTCAGATCCCTGTGTCCACTGCCTGCTCCTCAGCCCACGTTCCCCGGCTGCGTGCACGGCCACCACGCAGGGTCACCTGTGCCCAGACCCGGCAGCTCCCCAAGACTCCCTCCTCCCTCGCCCCCTCCCCACCCCTCTACCCCCACCCCCGCCTTGTCCACAGCCAGTCAGCACTGAGATCTCTGGATTTCCACCTCTGTTCCCACTGCCTTGGTCCCAGTCCCCTGCCCATCCTGCCCAAGACACTCACAGACACAGCCTGTCCCACCCCTCAATTTCAGTCCACCCTGAAGGACAGGCCTCGAGCCAGGATCTGTGGCAATGGAGGAGGAAGGCAGACCCTCGGGGAATCGGCCTGGGGAGGAGTGGCTGACAGACGGTGACAGGTGCAGTGAGGAGTATCTGAGACACGCCACACAGAACAGGAGACGGGGAGCCGGTGGCTCTGGGCTCAGAGGCCCCTCTGCCCAGGGCTGACAGCCCCTTGAGGAATTCCTGGACTATGACTCCTCGCTCCATGTGAAGACACAGCAGGGGGATAGGATTCAAAGCACAGGCCCTGGAGGCATCGGGCCCGCCTGCTCCCCGGCTCTGGGTGTGGGCAGGTGCCTCGACTTCCTCATCTGTGACATGGGGACAATCCGGTACCTGCCTCCTAGAATCAGATTCATACAAAGCACTGAGTACAGAGCCCGGCACGGTAACAGTGAATTATTACTGTGACGAATGTCCTGTCCTCCCACTCCTGCCCCCTGTGCCGGCCCGAATGCCCTCGTGGGTAACATCTTATTCATGGTTCTCCTCCTGGCCTCAGCTGAGGGACGTATTAATAGTAACAGATTATAACCCATAGAATGGTGCCCAGGCTGAGCCAGGGCATTTTCTTCCTGGAAGGTCCTCAATAGGTGTGGACAGGTTCAGAGGAGCAAAGCCCAGGAGGTGGGAGAAAGGAGGTGGAGCCATGCCTTCCAGGCTTCTCAGAACTTGGGTTAACCTGACAGAGCCGGGGCCCTGAGCTCCCCCTGCCTCTGGCAAGCCTGAACTCCCGGAATAATGAGCCACTCACCGCGGAGGCCCGGCCTCGCGTTCACCCAGTGCACCGCAGGCAGGAACTTGCAACACCAGATAACAGCGATGATGAAATTTTTGTCCACTGGGCAAATATTTGCTGAGCACCCGCTCTGTGTCGGACCGTTGGAAGTTTCCCAACCTTGTCTAACCAGGTGTGCTGGAATACGGCCATTCCCTGGAGCGTTCCCTTGAGGGGTCATGGCCTGAGGAAGCCCCTGCCCCACACTGGCGTCCACTCTGCACAAGGCCCCAGGTCTGCCTCCTAGACCCTTCCGGTGGGGGCCTCGGTCGTCTCCTCTGAAACATGGGAGCACACTCAGCCCGGACAGGCACAGGGTGGGTGTGATGTCACACAGGGTCAAGCTGAAAACAATGTAAGATGCCACTCCTACTGGACTCACCCAGCTATGGAAGCAGAGCGAGCCTCATCCTTACCTCCTGGCGAAGGGGTCCTCTGCAGGAGAGGAAGTTTTCAGGTTAACTGACACTTTATCATTTTAAGCACCGAAATCTGTAACATATTAATGAAGCTGTGAGGGCGTGGAATACAGTATCCAGAGGCCGCCGGAAGTCCAGGGCTTTGTCTCACCACTTTATTGCACAGTGATGCCTTCGGGGACTGTTCGCCCTGAACCAAATGGCTCCGACTCGTGCCTTCCCAGGGCTCGCGTCCTTGCAACCGTCTCAGCTCAGCCCTGCTGACGCCCCCGGAGTCTCCACCTGCTCCTAGGTGGGCCCACCCTCTCTGGACGATGCCACCCCTCCCAGTGGCTTAACCACTGTCTTGAGCTGGGGATTAGAGTCTGGGCCTGCAGCCTCTGG